CTGCGCCACATGCGGTGATCAGGGTATGCCCAGGCACTCCCAGCACACCATGTGCACACGCCTATGAGTATCACCAACTACTAGTGATTGTTAATGCCCCCATGGACTGCTGACAGATTTGCCCCAGGTGAGGAATTGTGTCCATTTCACTGCAGGAGTAAGTGCGACGACCCCTGAACAATTATTTTCTTCCCTACCCCCTTTTTCTTTCTTCTCTTTTTTTCATTGCTGTTATGGGCAGATTTTCATTTGGTTTGTTCTTTTGCATTCATGTAGTTCGATATTGACTTTGTGCTATTGTATTATTTGCCTTGTTTGCATTCTAGTACAAGTTTATCATCTTTGGTCAAGCACATGCAAGGCGTACAAGGACCTGATGAAGAGGAAACAGCCATGAAATACGAAAACCGTACACGCTATTGTTATAATTTATTATAAAGTCTATATACTTATATTCTAGGTAGTATTGCACTAGCCTCTTTGCAATTTTATGGACATTGTATGCCCAGCTTTTCAAAATAAATGGTTAGCACTTCCGCCTGGCAGTACTAGGGTCGTTGGTTAGACCATGGCACCACCTGCATGTTCTCCCTGTGTCTGTGTGGGTACTCTGATTTCCTCCCACACTCCAAAGACATGCTGGTAGGTTAACTGGCTCCTGTCTTAATTTGCCCAAGTATGTGTATGTATGAATGTGAGTTGGGGACCTTAGATTGTACGCTTTTTGAGGGTTAGGGACTGTAATAAATAAACAATAATAAAATAAATGGTTATTTTTTAGCCGCATTTTATCTGTTTACCAATGTATTTGTCGGCGGTATATTCAAAGTTCCATTAGCTTTTCTATTTCTGTTTAATAGATATTGTGTTACCCTTGGGAGTGTAATCATGCTGAGATATTCATCATCAGCCCCACTACAACAAATATTTTTTGTGGATAAATTTGAAATTAATGAATTACTCTGTTTGACATCAAACCTGAGAACTAGAAACACTCAATAGCGTGATTCTAGTTCTGCACGGCAAGATTAACTCCGTTCTCACAGCAAGGGATGTTTTTCATGTGGGCTTAAAAAAAGCATAATGAAGGGGTTAATTCACCTGCACATGTCTGGTATTTAATCTGAACATAGCTCCACTGTATTCACTGCGCTCTCTATTCCTTTACTATATCAACACCAGGACTATTTTCAGTGGGAATGCGGGGGTATGCACAGGGGCAGACTGACAACTCATGGGGCCCCCGGGCAATAGGGGATCATGGGGCCCCTGTGTCCTTGCCCAAACTCAAAAAAGCCTATGAAAAAGGTACCAGGGGCATCTCATGGGGCCCCCTACTGACCCCGGGCCCTCGGGCAGTGCCCGAGTTTCCAAATGGTCAGTCCACCCCTGGGTATGCAGTTCCGGCACCTCCAGCACTGAATGTATATAATGGCAAGGGGGTGCTGGGGTGTGCTGGAGAGTCTATTGCTGCTGGCTGCTGGGGGATATTTTGTTGCAGGGGGTCTATTGTAGGTGGAAGTGGATCTATTGTTGCTGGGGTCTTGTGTTTCTGGGGGGGTCAATTGTTGCTGGAAGGGATCTACTTTTGAGGAAGGAGTTGCTGGCTGCTGGGGAGATCTATTGTTGCTAGCGAGGATCTATTGTTGCTGGGGGGTCTTATGTTGCTTGGGGTCAAATGCTGCTGGAAGGGATCTACTTTTGATCAAGGAGTTGCTGGCTGCTGGGGAGATCTATTGTTGCAAGCGGGGATCTATTGTTGCTGGGGGTCTTATGTTGCTGGGGGGTCAATTGTTGCTGGAAGGGATCTACTTTTGAGAATGGAGTCACTGGCTGCTGGGGATATCTATTGTTGCTAGTGGGGATCTATTGTTGCTGGGGGTCTTATGTTGCTGGGGGGTCAATTGTTGCTGGAAGGGATCTACTTTTGAGAATGGAGTCGCTGGCTGCTGGAGAGATCTATTGTTGCTAGCGGGGTTCTATTGTTGCTGGGGGTCTTATGTTGCTGGGGGGTCAATTGCTGACGGAAGGGATCTACTTTTGAGAATGGAGTCGCTGGCTGCTGGGGATATCTATTGTTGCTAGCGGGGATCTATTGTTTCTGGGGGTCTTATGTTGCTGGGGGGTCAATTGTTGCTGGAAGGGATCTACTTTTGAGAATGGAGTCGCTGGCTGCTGGGGAGATCTATTGTTGCTAGCAGGGTCTTTTGTTACTAAGGTGGATCTGTTGTTGCAGGGAGGTATTTTGTTGTGAAGGGGTCTGTTGTAGCTGGGGAGGACTATTGTTTTTGGGGTGATCTATTGTTGCTGGGGGATCTATTAGTGACGGGGGGTCTGTTGCTGCTGGCTGCAGGGGATCTATTTTATTGCATTTCTTGTTTTTAACAAATTCCATAAAAATGACTTATCATCACAAAATGATACTTGGTTCTGTATTCGAACCCCAGCCACGGCACCACCTGCCTGGAGTTTGTATGTTCTCCCTGTGCCTGTATGGGTTTCCTCCGGGTACTCCGGTTTCCCCCCACACTCCAAAGACATGCTGGTAGGTTAATTGGTTCCTGTCTAAATTGTCCCTAGTATGTGTATGAATGTGTGTTAGGGACCGTAGATTGAGGGTTAGGGACTGATGTGAATGTACAATATATATGTAAAGTGCTGTGTAAATTGATGGCGCTATATAAGTACCTGAAATAAATAAATATTCTCTGAAGGGGGCAGTGCTGGGAGGGGGGTAGGGAGGTGGAATGAAGGGATGGTGCTCCAAGGTGGGTAAGGGTGGGAGCAGGGGCGGACTGACAACTCATGGGGCCCCCGGGCAATAGGGGATCATGGGGCCCCTGTGTCCTTGCCCAAACTCCAAAACAGTATGAAAAAGGTACCAGGGGCATCTCATGGGGCCCCCTACTGACCCCAGGCCCTCGGGTGGTGCTCGAGTTTCCAAATGGACAGTCCGCCCCTGGGTGGGAGACAAAGGATGACTAAGAGTGGGGGAGTACATGCACTTATTCTCTGAGAAAAAGCCCTGATGAACACCATGCCACACAAACAATAAAATATATGTGTTTGCAAACAGAGATACCATATACTGTAAATACTGTAAGTGTGTGTACAAGTATTGAATAAATATATTTTTTTGCATACGCATTACAAAACAATAACTGATGAGTGTGTTGACTATACATGTCCATTTTAAATCAATCTAATAGTAGATCATGGCATTTGTAGAGCATCTGGAAGTCACTAATGATCACATATCAGCCAGTATGAGCGTTGTGTATATATGACATTCTCCGAGCCTTTCACTGACACTAATATATTCATCGATCAGACTGTCGGCACCACTTCTACACTCAATAAAGAGAGTCAATGTCACGGCTTGTATCAAGGACTCTCCACCGAAACACATTAAACACAGCAATACTTTTCAAATATCAACACTAGATTGAGTGCTGCAAGTCAGCAAAAGGGGATTTAAAGGAAGATCTACTAAATAGTTTTCTTTCTAGTCTGTATGGCACGTATTCTAAATTCCTCTGACATCAAGCATTGGAAGAGAGCACAACCCGGAGTAAAAAATTAAAAAAAAAATACTCCTATGGTAAGTATATAAAGACAATAAAACAACCACTGCGCTAACCTAAGACAAATATTATACACAAAGAAATGTGCTGCCGCCAAGCACTGACATGCGTTCCCACACCTCACAAATATTTCAATAAAAAGTGCAGCGCAACAAAAATAGTAATATATGGAAAATGAGGCAAAGAAATATCATTTGCAGTCACATACATAAATAAATGGACAGAAAAAAAAATCTCCACATTAATAATAGTACATGGTAACACATGCGTTTATAATGTGCGTGCGCCAGAAAAAATATGCAAAATTGCTCCACCGCTGTGTCCCACCACCTGTCACTGCTGCCTCGAAGACTGACCCACAAAATGGTAAAGTCAACCAGAACTTTCCCAAATAACATGGCCAAATCACGGACAATAATCCCAGAGCACATATGATGGTCTCACTCCCCCCTGCAGCTCAGGAACCGTCCCATTTAACAGTAAAGATAAAAGACAGAAACCATCATGGTGCAGTACAGGGGCGGACTGACAACTCATGGGGCCCCTGGGCAATAGGGGATCATGGGGCCCCTGTGTCCTTGCCCAAACTCAAAAAAGCCTATGAAAAAGTACTAGGGGCATCTCATGGGGCCCCCTACTGTCCCCGGGCCCTCAGGCAGTGCCCGAGTTTCCAAATGGTCAGTCCGCCCCTGGTGCAGTATGAACCCACTAAAATCCTTTTTTAATTAATTAATTTATTTCAGGTACTTATATAGCGCCGTCAATTTACACAGCACTTTACATACGTATTATACATTCACATCAGTCCCTAACCCTCAAGGGGCGTACAATCTAAGGTACTGTTCAAATGTTATTTCACATAGCTACATAGTTAGTCTGGCTGAATAAAGGACAAAAGTCCATCCAGTTCAACCATAAAATAAAAAAAAAATTATCTATGATATCCTTTCTAATGTTTCATTAAATAAAAGCATACTGGAATATAAAATGCTTTTTTTAGCCAAAAAGTTAAAACATTACTCACAAAATAAGTGTACTAAATCAGAGCACTAGACAGGATCACCTTTTTTAACCACTTGCCCTCCAGAGGATTTACCCCCCTTCCTGACCAGGCCATTTTTTTTTGCATTACGGCGCTGCGTTACTTTAACAGACATGCAACGCTGCACCCAAATTAAATTTATGTCCTTTTTTCTGACAAATAGAGCTTTCTTTTGGTGGTTTTTGATCACCTCTGCGTTTTTTATTTTTTGCACTATAATCAAAAAAAGACAATTTTTAGAAAAAAAATACAATATTTTTGAGTTTTTGCTATTAAGCATGCTCAGTAAAAAAATTGAAAAATCTAATTTTGTCATAAATTTAGGCCAAAATGTATTCTGCTCCATGTCTTTGCTAAATAAATCCCAATACGTGTAAATTAATTGGTTTACGTGAAAGTTATAGCGTCTACAAATGGAGGTATATATACCAGAATTTTTTTTATATATTCTAGTAATGATGGCGATCAGTGATTATGGCGGGACTGCAACAGGCATTCTGACACTGGAGGAATATGGCTGCCAGTGACATCCTCAGTGACACCAATACAGTGATCAGTGCTAATAAAAAGCACTGACACTGTACTAATGGCACTGGGCAAGAACGGGTTAACATGTGGAGTGATCAAAGGGTTAACTGTGTGCTGTGTGTTTTTTATTTTGTCAACACATTGCTTTGTATTGCTCTGCTATACAGGGGAAAGATCTGTATTATTTACATACAGACCTCTCCCCCATCTGTGTGATATTCGGCGATCACCATGTGCCGGCTGGGAATCACCAGCTGGGACCCGGTGATCGACAGCTGAGGCCGCCAACGGCGGCACGGGTAGGGCATGGCTCATTCGCACCCCCTACCTGGAGATGTAGTTTTGCACAGCCCTGCCACCCTGAAGCAGTATTTCTGCTATAGGGAGGCGGGAAAGTGGTTAACCTCCTTAGCGGTTTTCCCGAGTGTAGCTCGGGGGAAGAGTTTCTATACCAAGAACGGTAACCCCGAGCTACACTCGGGCTTACCATGCAGCGTTCTCTGGGGGTCCCTGCAGCACTTACCTTGTCCTTCGCTCCCACGATGTGTCCCCTGCAGCGTCCCCGTCCATCTCCTCCGGCGGATGCCGGCATCTGACTTCCGTGTTCCGGTCCCCGTGACGTCGGAACGTTCGGGCGGCGGAACCGGCGGGAAATTTGAAATTTTTAAAAAATGACATTTTTGCTGTCATTGCTTTTTCACTGCATTTCACATACATTTTGTCCCCACTGCTTTGTCTTGTGCCCTGCCTGCATTTTGACTGTTCTTTCTGCCTGGAAACTTAGAAAAGTCCATGGCGGCCAAAAAGCGTCCCTTTACATCAAAAGCGGTTTTAGAACAGCGATAGTAAATCAGAACCACTTGCAGAATTGAGTGATAATGATTTGTGGGGAAATTCGTCATCAGACACTGAAAACGATTTTGCGACTTTGCTCAGCGATGTGCGAATTTGCCTCTGTATTTCAAATTTCAGTGTTTTTGGTTTGATTATATTATTGAATTAAATTGATTATTATTATATTATTATTTTTTATGATTATTAATTAAATTATAATTTATGATTTTGTGTTTCAAGTTTTATCATATCCGGAATGTTTAATAGACTCTTGTTCGGACAGATTTCAGTGAGTTATTCCTAAAAATTACAGCCTACAATTAAAAACTACATATTTCCATGCAAAAAAATGGTACCGCTTTCAGCACAAAATTCCTGACATGATGATCATACCGCCAGGGAGGTTAAACAATGTTCATGTTGCCCCCTTAAGCATAGATATGGAGAGGATATGTAAAGATGGCCAATCTGGGACTTCTGAGTATGATGACTCTGCACTGATGCGTTTCGTCACATAAGAAAGTGGCTTCCTCATAGGATAACAGGAAAAATCTCCTATGATAAATTTGATTTTCTAAATTAAAATAACCAATCTTCCTAATAGTGTGCCAAACCAACATATATCAAAATAACATAAAAATAAGCAGCCTTGCACCAAATGTGAATCTCATAATCTTCCATAATAACATAAAAAATGTTTTATATATAACAATATGATGTATGGTTCCAGAAGACTGCTAGACCAATCAGGATGCGCAGCGCTACATGATCATGCGCAGTGGGCACCAGGCTGTGCAACCACAAACATTCACAGCCTGGTGCCCACAGTAGAGATGCTGGCGCCATGGAGGAGAGAAGGGGAGAAGAGATGGCGTGGGTAAGTATATCGGTGGACTCTGGGACAGGTAAGTGTGTTTATTGAAAGCCAGCAGCTACAGTTTTTGTTGCTGCTGACTTTTAATAAACACAAAAATGGCTGGAACTCTTCTTTAATTGCATCAAAAAACCATTACCATTGCACTCACTTTTAACTGGTGCCAGATCGCACCTGATAAATACAGCGTGTAGATATGGTGGTCCTGTGCAATACCGCTCTCACCGCTATGCTCTCCGAACCTTCCTTCTGAGCGACGTGACGTCACCCAGTAGCCCTGCTCTACGCATTTCATCACCTGCACATGTGACTTTCTCAGGGAGATATGCCCCTGAGAAGCACAGATTAGAGTGCTGCACATTGATATATATAAAAGTTTGATTTTCTAAAGGAGCAGAGATTGATCACTTGAAAGATTAGAGGAACTGAATTTATTCTCTCTTGAGAAGAGGAGATTAAGGGGGGATATGATCTCCATGTATAATACATAAGGGGGGATATGATCTCCATGTATAATACATAAGGGGGGATATGATCTCCATGTATAATACATAAGGGGAGATGTGATCTCAATGTATAATACATAAGGGGGGGTATGATCTCAATGTATAATACATAAGGGGGGATATGATCTCCATGTATAATACATAAGGGGGGATATGATCTCCATGTATAATACATAAGGGGGGATATGATCGCCATGTATAATACATAAGGGGGGATATGATCTCCATGTATAATACATAAGGGGGGATATGATCACCATGTATAATACATAAGGGGGGATATGATCACCATGTATAATACATAAGGGGGGATATGATCTCCATGTATAATACATAAGGGGGGATATGATCAACATGTATAATACATAAGGGGGGATATGATCTTCATGTATAATACATAAGGGGGGTTATGATCTCCATGTATAATACATAAGGGGGGATATGATCTCCATGTATAATACATAAGGGGGGATATGATCACCGTGAATAATACATAAGGGGGGATATGATCTCCATGTATAATACATAAGGGGGGATGTGATCTCCATGTATAATACATAAGGGGGGATATGATCACCATGTATAATACATAAGGGGGGATATGATCTCCATGTATAATACATAAGGGGGGATATGATCTCCATGTATAATACATAAGGGGGGATACGATCTCCATGTATAATACATAAGAGGGAATACGATCTCCATGTATAATACATAAGGGGGGATACGATCTCCATGTATAATACATAAGGGGAGATATGATCACCATGTATAATACATAAGGGGGGATATGATCTCCATGTATAATACATAAGGGGGGATATGATCACCATGTATAATACATAAGGGGGGATACGATCACCATGTATAATACATAAGGGGGGATACGATCTCCATGTATAATACATAAGGGGGGATATGATCACCATGTATAATACATAAGGGGGGATATGATCACCATGTATAATACATGAGGGGGGATATGATCACCATGTATAATACATGAGGGGGGATACGATCTCCATGTATAATACATAAGGGGGGATACGATCTCCATGTATAATACATAAGGGGGGATACGATCTCCATGTATAATACATAAAGGGGGATACGATCTCCATGTATAATACATAAGGGGGGATACGATCTCCATGTATAATACATAAGGGGGGATACGATCTCCATGTATAATACATAAGGGGGGATACGATCTCCATGTATAATACATAAGGGGGGGATATGATCTCCATGTATAATACATAGGGGGGGTATGATCAACATGTATAATACATAAGGGGGATATGATCTCCATGTATAATACATAAGGGGGGAAATGATCTCCATGTATAATACATAAGGGGGGATATGATCTCCATGTATAATACATAAGGGGGGATATGATCTCCATGTATTAATACATAAGAGGGGATATGATCTCCATGTATAAATACATCAGTTGTCCATATAGTGAACTCTGTGTAGAGCTATTCACCCTGAGGTCATCACAGAGGACAAGGGGGCACTATTTACGTCTGGAGCAAAAGAGATTTAACCATTTCCATACCGTGCAATTTTACACCTTCCTGCCCAGGCCATTTTTCAGGTTTCAGCACTCTCACACTTTGAATGACAATTGCGCGGTCATACAACATTGTACCCAAACAAAACTTTTAACATTTTATTCACAAAACTAGACCTTTCTTTTGGTGGTATTTAATCACCGCCTGGGTTTTTTTTTTGTGCTAAATTAGCAAAAAAAATACCGAAAATTTTGAAAAAAAAACCCATGTTTTTCTTTGTTTCTGTTATAAACATTTTTAAATAAATAATTGTTCTTCATAAATTTAGGCCGAGATGTATTCAGCTACATGTCTTTGGTGAAAATAACCCAAATTAGGATGTATTATTTAGTCTGTAGGAAAGTTATAGAGTTCAAAAACTATGGTATAGATCTGAATATTGATCAATCCTGAAGTACTGACAGCCAATCTAATTTCTTGAGGTCCAAGAATGTCAGAACAGTTCAGATATCCCCCAAATGACCCCTTTTTGCAAAGTAGACAGTCCGACGTACTTCATAGGAGGCATAGCGAGTTTTTTGAAGTTGTATTTTTTTTTGTCATAATTTTTCGGAAAATTAAAAAATTAAAAAAATTATTTTCACTATTTTTTTTCTACATTCTGTCACCAATGCATCATATAACTGGCATGGCAGTGATCAGGGACACTGACTGGTGACAGTATGAAAAGAAAAAAAAATTTAATTTTTTTTTATTATTTTACATTTTTTATTACATTTTTTTATTTTTTGAAAGATTTTTTTTTTCATATTTCACTATGACCAAAGTAGTACAATGTTACCATAGTAACATTGTACTACTTTGGGGAAGTGATCAGTATTTTTTTTTTGTACACAATTTGCTTATAGCAAATAGTTACTTTGCTATAAGCAAGCATTTACCTGAATGACATCGATTCATTCAGGGTTTTTTTTTTTTTTCTTTTGTGCTTAGCTGTGATTTGGCCATGGCTAATCACATTACACAGATAGGCTGTGATTGGCCCAGCTTGTGCATGTGATCGCTGTGACCATTTGCAGCTAGGCACACTTGTATACAATGGATGGCATGAATGAAGCCATCCATTGTATACAACTGTCATGTGACCTGCTGTGATTGGTCACAGCAGGTCACATGGTACCTGGCAACAGGGCCGTTACTCAGATCTGTCATTGGCCGTGTACAGATTGCGCCGCTGCGCTGCTCTGCAGGCGCACAAACTGAGAAATTTTGCTGGCCGCCATCTGGCCATAGGCTGGGCGGGTAAAGGTTAATCTCAAAAAAGGTTTCTTCACAGTAAGAGCTGTGAAAATGTGGAATAGACTCCCTCAAGAGTTGGTTTTGACCAGCTCAGTAAATTGCTTTAAAAAAGTCCTGGATTCT